ATTCACTGCCGGAAAAACACAAGCAAAACCCAGAAGATCCGTTTCTTGATGACGGCACGTGACGTTGCCGCCGAGTGCACCGAAGAGGAGTTGACGAGCCTGAACAGCTTGCTGGATGCAACCGATGAAAAAAGCAAAAAAAAGGGCAAAGGCGAAAATGATGCTGTTGATCGTGATGAAGACGCGGAGGAGGACCGGAGATTTGCATGCTCTGTGACAGTTCGCAAAGTATGTATAGCTTAGACATCCTGTCCCAACGACTGGCCACTGTTAGGCAGCAGCAGCTGACGAAATGGAGCCGGAGCCCGACGACGCAGTGCAGGCTGCGAGATTGCTGATGGCTGAAGAGGAGAAAGACGAGGAGGCAGGAAGTGTATGTATCCGAATCTTGTTTAGTTCAAGGGATCACCATCATGCTGTAGGAAGAGGCAGCTCGGGCCAACCAAGCAGCCGAACAACCCGATGGCGCTGGGGGACAAGCTTCAGATCCAGTCGGACGAAAGCCTGCAGCACGTGAGAGCCGAAAGGCGATCAGCTCCAGCAATGTTGTTCCGCAGTGGTTGCTTCAGCGATTTCCAATGCCACCAGAGGTGGTCGTAAGCCATGTATGTCACAGAAATGCGGTTCTTCCGCATTTTCAGTGCCGCCTGCCGCACGGCATGCTTCATGATGGAAAGCTACTCAGCATGAGATTGTGACTTACAACAGAGCCCAGTGTGTTTGCCACACCCCGGCCGAACGAAACTAAGGCAGTCCTGCTCTGCGAGTTACTGCCCGGATGTGAATGAGACGGAGCTTGATACAAGTCTCACCAGTGTGCATCTTTGCCCAGCTCGATCACGATCCATTTTGCAGGCATGGTTTATTTGCCACGCCTTTGTTTCAGAGGCTATGAAGAGCAAACGCCGACGAGTGGCGTAGCAAAACGATGCCGGGGCGATGTGGAGCATCCACAACACACTCCGAAAGCCATGCCAACCACTAAATGGCATATGCTAAAGCTCCCGGGACGTATTGTGTAGATGCTGCTAGTAAACCATCTCATGCAGAACCTTTAGGTGAAGTGGAAGGCAGGCTCATGCAGAATGGCTATGGAAACACTTGATTTGAGGGTACTATAGGCTTCTATAACAGGGTTCTCTTTTACGGGTTTGGGGTCTACTTAATCAGGACGACTGAAAGGCCTCCTTCACAGGAATCTCAGAGGTTTAGGGTTTAGGGTTGAGGGTTTAGAGAAGTTTAGGGTTGAGGGTTTAGGGTTTAGGCTTAAGGAGATGACGTCTTTGAGGTTTTAGGGTTTATAGGGCTTTGGGTTTGGGGTTTGGGGTTCGAGGGCCTTCGCTGTAGGGCTTAGGAGCTTTGGGGTCCTTCAGTTCGGGCCAAGGCTTGGGGCAGGGATTAGGATGATTCAATGATAAGGGCTTAGGGTCTAGGGTTTAGGGAAGTTTAGGGTTGAGGGTTTAGAGTTTAGGGAAGTTTAGGGTTGAGGGTTTAGGGTTGAGGGATGAGCTTACGGGCGAGCTCAGGGTTTAGAGATGATGTTTTGGAGCCCCACAGCCCGAAACCCTGGAGCCTGTTGTGCGAGCCCACCCCAAGACTCGAAGCATTGAACCAGAAAGCCCTAAACCCAAGATCCCTAAACCCTAAACCCTAAACCCTAAACCCTAAACCCTAAACCCTAAACCCTAAACCCTAAACCCCAGACTAGACCCTATACTGTAAGACCCGAAATGAGCCGAAATGCTGAACCACAAAAGCCATGAACCTTGAGTGAATTGCCTGCTTTGGGGGCCTTGTTCTTGAGTAATAGACCCGCGCAACTTTTTCTGATTATTAAGGCCCCTACAGTAGGTTGCGACCCCTTTGTTACAGCATCATTGGGTCAGGTAGCTCTACAGCATATTGGGTTAGGAAGCCTCCCAAATTGCTGCCACCGGTATAGGGGATACAAAACCCCGACACCCTCAGCCCCAAACCCTAAAACCCAAAACCCTAACCCTAAGCCCGAAGCCCTAAGCCCGCTCAACGCGATGATGTCTTAAGCTCCTCACCCTAAGGCTCCATGTACCTCTTCTAGATACTTAGGCCTTAATAGGGACCCCTTAAAGGCCTAAGTATCTACTATTTGGGTACATGGACGCTTACCCTGAACCCTAAACTGTAAACCCCTAAATCCCTAAACCCTAAACCCTAAACCCTATTCAACCCTAGGTACATGGAGCCTTTGGGTCAATTGCCTCAGGAGCGCCCTCTCCGGTGCATCGCCCGGCCGGCGGCTGCCAGTCCAGCTGTTTGGTGATGCATTATTTTCCCTAAGGGTCCATGTGCTCACATAGGATATACATTGGCCTTAATGTAGTCCCTATATAGGTACTTCAGGGCCCATGTATATGCTATATGAGTACATGGATCCTTAGGGTTTTTGAATATTCATGGCTGCACTGAGAGGATGTTCATACGTATGCGCACATGCATATACTGATAGATACTTCAGTTCAATGAAAACGTGAATATTTTTGTTTATCTCTCTCTCTCTCTATGTATATATACATACATATTTATAAGATGTATTTAAATGTGTGTACACCTATCTGGGCGTATATATATATATATATAGATATAGCATACTCCGAAAGCCTGTTTCAAGCATGTGGTTATCAAGTCCCCTCTATTGCCTAACTAAATTACCCGTACTTGTGTACGAGGTTGCTGTCCTTAAAGAATAGGTCCCTTTTCTACACACTCCTACATCATGCGCAACGAGACCACGAAACCTAAACTGCAAGCCTTACGTCCTGTTGGAACAGCTCTCGATAATCCTGTGCAGCCTCTAAACAAGCTTTTATATGTTCTTTCCGACTGGCACAAACTCTCAACATTTCCCAAGTCCGGGACTGGATGCGGCCTGGCCCTGTATAGCCCCCCTTGGCGACGATCCTGCCGTTTGAACCCCAATTTGCACTAGGCGGGGTCCGGAGCTAGAGCAGAGCAAGAGTAAGAGCAAAAGGAGGAGGAAGAGCAGGAGCAACAGCAAGCGCGGGAGCGAGAGCAAGAGACGCAGCAGGAGCAGGAGCAACAGCCAGCGCGGGAGCAAGAGCCAGAGCCAGCTTGTTTCCTGTTGTTGTTGTTGTTGTTGTTGTCATTGTTGTTGTTGTTGCGGTGGTGCTGGTGGTGGTGGTGGTGGTGGTGGTCGTTGTTGTTTTGAGTCCGAAGGCTTC